GTCGCTTTCCTTTGGTCTCGTACCAACTTTGATGCTGGGAAGACGGCATGAGCATAGACTCCCTGTTGCGTCTCTTGGACTGTCCTTCCTCTTGCTGGTATCCTTCGTTCGACGGCATGTAGATGGTAGATTCGCGGTTCGAGCGGCGTTGTGATGGCATGTCATTCTCCCATGGCCTTAGGGTGTCCCTCTTGCTGCTGTCATCTGCGTCATCGAACGACGGCGCTCGCTCGGTAATTACTGGGCCTTGCGCAATCTCCTGTGCTTCTGCAGGCGGGACGGGCGTCGTGCTCTCAGGAACCACGGTCGGCGTGCTGTCAACTGATTGCTCTTCATCCACCAAATCCGCATTGTGCGACTCTTCTTGCTCGTCAGACTTTTGCGATTCTTCCATACCTGCCTCGTCTTCTGAAATAGACGAAGGCCGTGTCGAAGGGGCGCCGGTGGAACCGTGGGTCTGGGCGGACACGGGTGACGAAATCGAAGCAGTAGAGTTTAAGTCGTCTGTCTCGGTAGGAGCATCCGCGAATGCAAGGCCAGAGCGGCTTAAACGCGACGAGGAAGGGAGATCGTCGCCAAGCAGGGTCTCCTTGTCGGCGTCAGTTTCGGCCTCAGGTTGTGCAGCGGAGGGGCCATCATCGGGCTCGGTCGCAGTAACGGTCGCATCTGTCGTAGTTTCATCTTCGGCGTCAGTCTCCACCTTTATCTCCGCGGCCTTGACTTCTACGTCCGATACAGCATCTTCAGTAGCCTTCTCCTTCCGCAGCTGTTGGGCCTGTTGTTGTTTCTTGCGCATCTCGAGAGCCTTCATGAGTCTTGTCCGCTCCTGTGTCGATCCTCCAGCCCTGAGGTGACTCCTGTATGCGGACACGGGCATCGATTTGGTACTGGCGGGGGCTCTCGTGGAGTATACTGACGAGGCGGGGGATTGTGGCATTTCAGGCATTGGAGGAACCTGGTGTGGAGGAGGAATAGCGATCGCGGGAAGGGTGCTCGAGGCGTTGGTCTTAGACTCTTTCTTCTCAGCTGTCTTTCGTGCCGCAGAGCGCAGACCTGCCGGGAGCGATGACTTCGGTCTCGCCAGATCTGACGGAGCACTGCCCGAGGTGGACGGTCTCCTGCCTTCGAGCGATGGCCGCGGTCGCGGTCCCAGCTTAACCTTTGGCTTGGTGTACTGCGCGTAGTAGTGCTCGTACAGCTCGTTGTAGTTTGGCCGTGCAGTCTGCGAAGAGTTCCGGGGCTCTGGTCCACCTTCGAAGAGCGAGTCGTAGCTTTTGAGCGTGTCCTGGAGATCGGATAGATCGGTGTCGTCTGGCGTCGTCGGCCCTTCCGTTACCGTCTCCATGGTGACATGGGAGATCTGTGGTGACAATTTGTGCTCGATGACCTTCTCGTCCAGCATCAACGGAACCGTCTCGGCTTGTGAGTTGATCGACCCGCTCCTCGTGAGATTGTCTTCGCTGTCTCTAGATGGCTCCAGTATGGTGGGTATGTTGGACTTGGCAGTTTCCGGTCGTGCACTGCCGTCTGCATCGGGCTGGGCGCCTTCCTCGGCAGCCTCTTGGATCCAGCTGAGCTTCTGCTGTCGCGACGATCCGCTGGAGGAGGAGCTCGAGGGCGCGGCGGTGTGCAGACTGCATGCGGCGGTAAGAGCGGCATCGCTGAGCTCTTCCGGGGTGGATATGGACAGGACGATGTCGTGGGGCGCAAACTTCTCGGTGATGTTGATGAAGTGGACACTGACGCGGGCTGTCGAGCGTTAGTCGTGGTCATGATAGGAACAAGCCTCCACATACCCTGAAGCAGTCGCGATGTCCCCTCGGGCACATATTTGACCAGGACCTTGCGCCGGCGGTACAGCAGCAGGCCGTACAGCGGTGACTTTTCCTCGTACTGGGCGACGGCAGCGCGCGCCTCGCCAGCACCGCCAGTGCCGCGGGTCAGGACTTCGACGGCATCCCTTGACGTGTACCTGAGCAGGAACCTAGATGCCAAACGTTAACACTTGGTCCGCGTGCGAAGAAGAAATTGGGATGTCGTACCAACCGCCAGCTTCGGCGAGGGCACCCTGGTACGCCTGTGTGACCTCGACATTGTCCAGTCCGTTCAGCGACATGGTGCAAGGCCGGCCGAAAAGCGACGCTCGGGGGTGCAGACTCTCAAAGCCGTGCGTGTCTGCGGCGAAGAGTCGTCAAGTCGTGATGTTGAAAGCGCCTGGGGCCAGGAGGTCCGGGCTAGTAGGGGTCATGCAATCAGGGATCCGAGGTGGCAGTGTATCAGAGGCAGAGGCAGAGGCGCATGGGGCGGCGGGCCATTGGGGCTGCTGCGCTGGGCGTCGAGGCAAATGGACGCTTCAGGAACTGTGCCGTGCAATGCGCCTAGCAGTCTCCTCCAAAAGAGCAAGCTGGAGGAAGGGCAGTGAAGACGAGCGTGGAGCTGAAACACAGGGGGCTCCATGGCCTGAGAGCACTAGGCACTTTATCTCCGCCTCCCGCTCCACACGCCTTCTCACCGACATCGACTCCCCAGACTGCACCACTGCTGCACTGCACGTGTGCCCGTTTGCTCTTTGTTTTTGTGAGCGACGCGAAGTTGTACACGCGATTGCATACAATGCAGTCTCCACGTGGTATCCTTCGATAATCTCGGATACTCGCACGCATGACAGCCCTGGCGCGCATAAAGACCCTCACCAACGCAGGTACAGCCGGCAATCCTGAGGCGCCCCAGGTCACACCCTATTCGATCAGATCGACAGTTAAGGGCTGACGGCTATGAAAGCCTTCCATTGCTTGTGCCGCCGGTATATCGCCGATGACAAGGCGGGGAAGAAGAAGCAAACAGCTGCCAACCCAGCAGTCGATCGCAGTCCCAATGCGCACCTTCTTAGCTCAAATTCGAGCATCACCAGACGTGACAGCACCTCGCAGCTATGCCAGTCAATCTAAGTGCTATAACACGACATCCCAGTCCATTCCACTTTGTTGAGGGCCTGTGGGAACGTGTCGGACCTTGAAAAAATGCACCTCGACTCCGCCGTGCAGTATAAACAAGCTTCCTCCATTGTTTACTGCAAAACACGGTACGCGTCGCGGACTAGGAAAAGCTAGACGGCAGTCCGTCTGCAAAGCTCAACTACCTCGACACTAACTCTTCGGTGCTGCCCCGCTATCCATCCAGAACAGCTTTGCCCCTTGCAGCGACCCACGTAAAGACACCATGCACGTCGTTGGCCATGACCAGGCATGCGCTGCATCGCTGATCGGTCGGTAGCGGCCGCGAAAAAAAGATTGAACAGTGAACCACGATCATAACCACAGCCTTCTGTCACCACCACCATTCTACAAACGTCAACTTCGACCCTTCAATTCCAAACCCCAGCTAGCCAAATCTCCGGTCCCAAACTATCGCATCGCGAGAAAAGCAATAAACGGCTATCCCGAACCACTAGCCACTACCCTCAACCCTAACAATGACATCACTCCCACCCGCCAGCGCCCTCCCCCACGCCTCCGAGTCCACCCTCACAAACGTTCTAGACCTGCTCTTCGAGCCCTCGCCTCCCCTTCGCACCATCACCTTCCCCGTGCTCCGCTCCGCCACCTTCCCCAGCTACGACATCCTCATCACAGCTGTCAACGCGCAGCTCGCTGCACTAGCTGCCTCGGATGACGACGCCGATGTGAAGAAGCTGTCTGAGATTCTATGTTCGCACCCGAGGTTGGGCGAGAAGAAGGTGGATAGCGAGCAGAGTCGGAAAGAGCAGGCGCAGTTGCAGCAGGGTGGGGAGGAGGAGAGGGAGATGCTGGGACGGTTGAACGAGGAGTATGAGGGGAAGTTTCCGGGACTGAGATATGTGTGAGTTTGGTTGTTTCTCGGACTGGACTTTATTTGGGGGGTTGTGAACTAATTAATGGTGTAGTGTGTTTGTCAACGGTCGCCCCAGATCGGAGATCATGGAGAACATGCGTTCGCGTATTGATCGGGGTGATATCAAGGCGGAGCGGCAAGAGGCCATTCAGGCCATGTGTGATATCGCTCTAGACAGAGCTACCAAGTTGCAGAAGGCATAGAATGCGACTGCAGTGCAGGAAGAAGTCTCCAGAGTGGGCTGAAAGATGTCACTGACCTTGAGATGACAGAGTTGAAGACGAGCGTTACAAGCCATCTAGGTATGTTGGATCATATTGTAAATTGAATCAGATACTGTTGTACATGCTACACGCTCTTTTGACCATTCGTATGAAGAAGAGAAACGCCAAATGTCCTCTTCCCTGACCATGCATGTACATTTCCCCTTACCCAAACGTGCAACTTTGCGACTAGAAATTTCCCAAACTCCAAACCGTTGGATGTGAAACGCTAAACAACACACTTTTTCCCGCAATGTAGTAGTACAACAAACCCAAATGCCCTCTTATTCTTTGCTTTTGTGACTTCCTCGACCTCCCATACTCCGGACCCTTTTTGGAATTTTGATAATACAAGGAAGTTTTTTTCCAGATCGAAAATGCGATGCGAAATGAAGTTTTCACGTCTTGTTTGGTAGGAAACGTGTGGTATGCGCCTTGTTGTAGAAAGTCTAGGCGATGTCGTTCGGTGGATGCGATAGTGATGATATATGCTGCAGATCCAGTAGGTAGGTTTATCGCGCGTGAAACTCGCTCGTTGAGTACAAGTCTCATGATCCAAAACGCATAAACATCAAGTTCCTCTGCCGTCTACGTTCTTCTTCTACGTCACTCGTGCGAACTGGCTGATCTGCTCGGCCTGGGTGATTGTCCAAATGGTTCCATGCCGTCGGGTTCTGTCCTATCATCGAGGTATCGAGCGCAGTGAAATTTGGCGACTTGGAAACCGGCAGGAAGTTCGGCGAAGGGGGAGCAGCCAATGGCATCAAATTCGGCGAGGCCGGTATGGCCGCAGATGCCGAGGCGAAATTGGGCGATGTCGATACAGGAGGGAAGTTTGGTGACATTGGCGCTAGTGTTGGGGCAAGATCAGGAGAAGCCATCGTCCGTGCTGTAGGCATAAAGTTTGGCGACGTAGCGGCCGCGGTGTTCACGGCGAGCATCTCCGGTGACACTGATTTCGTTGGTAAGATTGGCCGGAAGTTTGGCGACATGGCGAATGAGTCTGTTCTCTTGGATGCGGACTGCGATGTTGCGAATAGGGCGGGAAAGTCCGGCGACGTTGATGCGAGTGTAGGCGCTGAACTATCGAAGGTAGACGCGCTTGGCCATACCGCGTCTGCCCCTTCATCTACCTGGTCGTAGTCACCAACAACTGGTTCTTCGTGGCCCAACACGTTGAAGTCGGAGAACATGCTCGTGGCATGTGTATTGTTGGTGTATGCTGTGGTGGATGAACTAGAAGTGACGGCAGAAGGCGAGAAAGGCACCTCATCGTCATCCTCGTATGGATTTGGTATCGGCTCATCTTCGTCGTCAAGATGAGCGTACGGGTCGAACGCATCACCATTATCTTCAACGTCGAGAGCATCATAGTTTGAGAGTCCAAGCGGAGATGGCGGTAGGGGTAGGTAGTCTCGACGTGGTGCCGGGTCTCTTGCAGCGTGAGACCATGCTTCGTTTGGCGAGCGGAACGCGGCAACTTCGTCGGAGGGACTTCTTAATGTTGGGGATGGCGAGGTAGGCGAAGGGCTTCTCGAAGACGCTGGAGAACTGGAGGGTGACCCAGAGACTACAAAGTGTCCTCCAGTCCTCACAGCAGCACTGGGCGGTACTGAGGGATCCCGAGAATGTACCGGTCTCGTATATGTGTCGACACTGCCATGGTTGAACTCTAATCTAGCCAACTCAAGTTGTGCTTGTTCTTTCTCCTGCTCAACTGGCACACGACCGCGCCCATACTGTGCCTCCTTGGTCAAGATGCATCGTCTGCGTATGCCATTGAGGATGGCAGCCTTTCTTAGCAAGTTTCGTCCAAGAGCCTTTTGCTTGGCCCACACTGCAATTTTAGAACTACCGCGATCCACAATATTGGTTGCTGGGTGTGAAAACTGTGGCGATAGTCGTGAAGTGATCAGGAACAATCGAAGGCGCCGCTTCTTCTTCTGCACACAAGAATGTTCCCCATCGATATCCGCCACCGCTCGGCTGCGCTTCCTGGATCCGCACGGCGATGGGCGAGGCAAAAAGGTAAGCCCCATAGTGGGCTGGGGAAGTATATTGAACTCCAAAGTAGAGGATTGTCCAATAGGAAGTAGATTTTCGAATCGTCGAGTTTGTGATGTTGCGTGCTCAGTGGGGGCTTGCATCATCCTCCGTTGCCCAACTTCATGCACTGTCTTCGGGAGATGGAGCTGGTGACGCGAATCGGCATTCTCGCACAGCAATCCTGATCTAGCAGTGGCGAGGTGTGATGGTGCTAGTTCAGACTGTCGAAATGTCGGTATGCCGTGCGGATACGGCGCGAGGTTGACAGATGGATGTGGAGCCAAAGACGCCGTGCTAACGAAGGGCGAATCTTAGCTTGGGGTGTAAGCGTGCAATATCGAGGTCCGGCCTGTCACGAGACGACCTCTGGAGCCCGAGACGAGATGCGAAGTAAGCATGCGCGTGACGCAGTTACTGATTGGGCGAGTTAATATCGAAAGCCAAAGGGTCGCCAGCGAGGGAAAATGTCGGTGCCAGAGAGTAAGCAGTCGGCGACGATGAAAGTGGTATTCTGTCTTGTGCAGAAGAGGGGCTAATAATATCGCTAGGGAGGTGCAGGAGCGGATGACCCAGCGCTATGGGCAAGATGCGGAGAACCCCAGTAGCCATCTGCCACACTACCACTAGTGACATGCACACATCATCTTCTTACTGGACAACGTGAGAAGGTCTTTGCAAGCCACGGCATCCAGACACGCACTCTGTGGATTGACCACTGAAGACTCGACCGCAGCATCGGTCAAGGCCAGCTTTGTGAGGCTGCAACACGTCGTAGCGGAGGCGAAAACGGGACTTTTTGCTCGTGTTTGAGGGAAGAGGCGCACGCGGACTGAAGAGGAGGAGATGGGCGCTGGCCGGTCGGAGAAGGTCTCCATGCCCAAACTTGATTCAAGTGAGGCTTCAAGCTTCAGGGGTTCCCGTCTGTCAAACCCTGTCGCTCTTCCCCAAGATACCGCCGATCAGCCCAGACCCCGAATCCTTCAGCTGCAGCCAACGAGAGCACCATCACGCTTTTTGCCATCCGCCATCGAGCAGGAAGAGTTTGCGGCCATGTCATCACTCGAGCAGCGCTGGGTTGGACCTTGTCAGATGTAGACAGATGACAGCAACACGCGCGTACACCATCAGACGAAACCTCGTCGCAGCGAATGACAGATTCCATGTCCGAGGCACAGTCTGACAGGGTCTAGGGCACCGACGATCCGAGAACCCTGGGGTTGTGCGACGCATTCGGCTCCCCTCGAGCTGAGCTGCACGACATGGGATTTACGATCGCCCAATAGCGGGGCAGTCGCTTCGATGGCTTGACGAAGATGCCTGGATCACTGGGCAGCAATTTCAAAGATCCCATCGTAAAAGCAGACTGCTGAAAGGCGAATCTACGTAGAGGAGGTGTATGCGCGATGCTTCCTTCCTTCACATGCGATCGACGATGCTCCTACGTCTATCTCACCTGTCTTGATGTCAGCAACTCTGCCCGCGGAGAACACCTTTCGCCTCTGCGGACCACGGCGCTTCACGAACAACAGCCACCTCACAATGTCGTGCTCCACATTTGACCTTCCGTCTGTTCGTGTAACAACCTTACGTTTCGTTTCCCCTTCTCCAGTCCTGCACTCCAGCTTACACCGCATCTGCAGCACACGCTGCACTCCGCACTGCTGCACAACACACACGCACACTCATCCCATTCGCCCACCCCATCCTAAATCTGCAAGTCGTCACGAGCCCTAATCTCGCTCGTCTCGTTCGACGTGTCCAAAAGACTAATGCTCAAGCTCGCACATCGGCGACCTCCATCTTCGCCTTCTCTTTTTGTGCTGCTGTCTGTTGTGAGAAGAGGGTGGCCTAACACCGACGCTCCTTCCTCTTGAACAACAAAATTCACGCAACGCATGACAGCCCAGCCCAGCCCGTATCCGTAGCGCCATGCATGAAGATGAGGCTCAGCGTGCGTCGTTTGAAGGAAAACTCGTTCGTTTTACCGAGAGAATAAGCAATATGGACGCCACCTACACAGCATCGCGATGGGTACACCACCCACCTAGTCTAAGTGAAATTGCCAATGAGAAGCTCCTTGGCACCACACTTCCTCGAAATGCGATTTGCGGGACAAAGCTTGCTATGAGCTTGTGAGTCGATCAGGATCCGCGAGTATACAGTAGTGGGCGAGTGCGCTGTGTTGGTCGGTGGAGTGGGCCGAGGGGAGAGGACAGTCCCGTCCCGCTCTTGGCAATTGGCGACTGAACGGTGAGCGATGAAGAGTAGAGCCCGAAAAGGTAATTAGAGCGAAGATGAGAGAAGGGTATTTGAGATCATGGTAAGTCGGCAGCGGAGAAAAGCTCCAGCAGTGGGCATGGCTATCATGTGCACTGGCATGTATTTCAAAACGTATGCTCAGTTAGCTTCCGGGTGGTTGGGTATTTGTAAGTACTAGATCGTAGGTAGATATGTACTCTGCTTGTTGCCCACTTCAATGGCTGGTTGCTGGTGGGATGTATATTACTTGACTACATCCGCTACGTGATACACTCGAGACCAGGTTCAGCCTCTTGATTCTCAAGTGGTCTCTTCCACGAGCACCTAGTCTCTTCCCTATACGTTGGTCAACCCGAAGAGTGAGCATCCTTTAGTGCGATCACGCTGCTTCCTGGAAGTGGCGAGCGTGCTGGTTGACGTGCAGCCGCCTGAGCAGCTCTCGATGCCGATTCCTTGTCTCGCGATGTGTCTATCTCACCCTTGCTTCTCCTCTGATGCTAAGCCAGCTTCCAGTGCGACTCCTGATACTATTGCATCCTCAGATCATCAGATCAGGGTCCGGCTGCCAAAGATACAGATCCTTATCCGCACTCGCCAGCAGGTTGGTCCTCGGGTTATATCCCACAACAGCGCTCTTGCCCTGTCCCGGTAGCTTCTCCATAGGCTCGAGCATATTGTTCGGCGCTGGTGCTTTCGAAATATCCCACACCAAGAGACCGTCCTCGCCGCTACCCCCAATGAGGAACTTGCCATCTGGCGTGAGACACACATCGCCCTGTCCGTTTGCAGGACCACTGCCATCGGATTTGGCACCGGACTTGTTCGTGACAGATGCGCTGGGTGGGAGACGTCCTGAGGAGCCAGCCTTGCGGTAGCAGAAATGCGTCAGGTCGCCTGAGAAGGCATCTAGCACGAAATGGCCGCTACCATTTGTCGCGACGATGAGACTCTTTCCGTCGTTTGTAAATTCAATCTTGGTCCATTCGACCTTTTGTCCTCCCATGAAGCGCTGCTCAGCCTCGAGCAAGTCGAATGTTGCGAACGGCGGCTTATCGTAGTTGCGCATATCGTAGAGGAGGACGTTCTGTGTAGGCGGCGACGCGATCGCGATAACGGTCGCGGAAGGATCGTAGGCTGCGAGGTAGGCGCCGTGGAGGTTGAGCATGCCGACGTAGTTGGGGGATTGCAGGTTCCATAGCCGCACCGTGTTGTCTTTCGAGCAGCTTATGAAGTCGTCTTTGGACGGACACAGGGCGATTGAGGTCACTGTGTCGGTGTGGCCCTTGAAGTAGCGGATGTACGAGTTGTCGTGTGTGGAGAGGAAGCGGATGGTGTCGTCGATCTTGGTACTCGCGCAGATGATGCTCTGGGCATGGTGGCTGAAGCGCGCCAGATGTACGCCGTACTTTTGGCTCTTGAGCTCCTTGGCGTGCTTGCCTTCTTTGCAGTTGTAGATTTGGAGGGTATCGTCGTCGCGTGCGACAATGGCCAGTTCGCCCGAGTCGTCAAAGTCGAGGGACGTTACTGAGGTGCCCTGGCCGCCCGATTTGAAGCGCTACGAGGTGTTAGTACTGGATATATACAAAGGCATAGCATATTAGTCTCACCCTCTGCGGCCGGAAGCTCGTTATGACGTCGGCAACTTTCTGTGTCGGCGGGCCTGCAGGCGGCGGTGGAGGCCCGCCGCCGGGTGTCGCTGAGCCAGCCATGTTCGAGTTGAGCTCCTAATCCTCTGCTGCGACAGCTGCGTTCATCTCCACCTCTTCAGTCGGCGAATCAGCGGGCGCGTAAACTCAAGCACGCGACGCGACGTGGACAATTAGAGCCGGCGGAATGCGCTGAAGAGTTGCAGCATATGGAAAGAAGTGGGTCCGAGCGGTCTTACGTAGCTGGCCATGCCGAGCCGAAACCGGAACGATTATTCATATTCACCTTGACATTTCCTCAGCATTGCCATTGTGACGGCAAGACGTGTGTAGCTTCAGTTTCGCCTGGTCTTACTTCCATCCCTATTTCCTACAAACCTTCTTTACTCGTATTCATGATCGCGCGGTAACCCACGTCACTACTACCACCACCGAATACGTACTCCCCCATATTTCCGAATCGCGCGCGCCGAAGAGTCGCATAGAGTGTGAGAATGTCTACAACCCTCGGGTAGGTACTCAGTATAAAGTTTAAACACAGTATTGATTGTATTAACGACTACCCCCACCAGCTCCTTCATAGCCGGCGGCATAGCAGCATGCGGTGCAGTCACAGTAACCCACGGCTTCGAGACCGTCAAAATCCGGTGCGCGTCTTCGCTCGCAACACCTGCGCGACCAGCTCGTTGACGATCGCCCAGACTACAACTACAAGGCGAGCTTAAAGCGAGAAGTGACGCGCCGCGATTATACAAAGGTGTCTTCCATGGTGTCAGCGTCATCCTGAAGAATGAAGGACCCAGAGGTTTACTACGCGGTCTGGGATGCGCAGTATGTCTAGCACACATATTCAGGGACAATGGAACGAGCAGGAACTGACGCGCCCAGTACGTGTACCAAATGACCCTCAACGGCTGCCGACTCGGCTTCTACGAACCCCTCCGCAAGACCCTCACAAACGTCGTATACAGCGACCCAGCCGTCCAATCCTTCGGCATTAACCTCTTCGCAGGCGCTTCATCCGGTGTCCTAGGCGCAGCAGCCGGCTCCCCCTTCTTCCTCGTAAAGACGCGGTTACAATCCTACTCGCCCTTCTTACCCGTCGGCACACAACACAACTACCGAAACGCCGTCGATGGCATGCGACAAATATACAGCGGCGAAGGCATCAAGGGCCTGTACAGAGGTGTAGGACCAGCCATGGTACGCACAGGTTTCGGCAGCTCCGTACAACTTCCCACGTACTTCTTCGCAAAGAGACGGTTAGTGAAACATCTGGGTATGGAAGAGGGCATGCCGCTGCACATTGCGAGTAGTACGGCCAGTGGCTTTGTCGTCTGCTGTGTTATGCACCCCCCGGATACCATCATGTCGCGCATGTACAACCAGACGGGCAACCTGTACACATCGGCTTTTGATTGCTTGAGTCGGACGGTCAAGACGGAGGGTATCTTTGCGCTGTACAAGGGGTACTTTGCCCATCTGGCTCGCATTCTGCCCCATACGGTATGTCAGACAGATGTAACAGGTGGGACTCGGTCGCTAACATTGACATAGATTCTGACCCTTACACTCGCCGAACAAACGATCAAGCTCATGCGCTTGGTAGAAACCCGGATAGGCGTCTCAAACGCCAAAGAGAAGATATGAGAAGGGCTGCTTGTGAGGAATGGGATTAAACCTGTGTATCACCTACAATCTCGCGGTGTCCGACATACCGTACGAAACTTGACGAGACGGTGCAGATACCTACGAAGAGTAGGAACATATCGAGAACGAAGCAAAGCGTTTCGTATACAAGACGAAGGACAGAGAGAGAGAGAGTTGAATAGATACCAACACCAGCTGGCACATTGCCACTGAGGTGTTAGAATCTGAGAATATGCCGTACATCTAAAACTCGTCCGACTTGGGTCCCTGACGTGACAACGAGGAATGTCTATGAAACCTCCGCACGTCCAGAGCAGTCCCCTCTTTATTCATCATCCTCCCACTCCTCAGGCAACCATCCAATAGGTCTCGGTTTCAACATCCCCAACACCTTAGTCGGCCCCTTGATCTTCTCCTTGACCTGATCCTCCTTTCCATCATTCTTTCTAACAGGCAAAGCTTTCTCAATCTCCTCAACATCAACATCCATCTCCCCACCCCCCGCCCCCTCCGCCCTCGCAGCATCGAGCACAGCACGCCACAACTTCTCATCCACAAAGTCCCTTGCAGCATCCAGCACCTTCTCTGCAACCTTCAAATTCCAAAACGACGGTTCAGAAAAACACAGCCCAAGCACCTCTTCCACAACCTTCCTCTCCGCCGCGCCTCCCCCTCGTACACCCGCCCATTCCTCATCCGTAAGAACATGGACAATCCAGTCCTGCAAGCCCTCCCTCACAGGATCCATCTCCGGATTCATCATTGCGCGCGCAGCGGGGGATGTGCGGTTCATAGCACGCATGAGATGCTCGACTAGAGTCTTGATGTGCAGCACGCTGCCGTCGAGGCAGAATGCACGTAAGAAGGGTGTCCAGATGATGAAGGCGCCGGACATGGTACTGCCTAGTTTCTTGTCCGTGGGCAGAATCATTTTCTCGTCGACTAACAAGTGCAGGAGTACGCGTTGGGTCTGTGTCGAAGGCGTGGTCGTAGCAGTGGGTGCGTAACGTAGGGTATACGTCGACAACGCTGTTTCAGCAGCCTTACTATTATTGTCTTTCTTTCTGTTCTTGATCTCGGACTTGCGTTCTTTGACATAGGTTTTTAGTATGCTTTGGAGTTTTTCGCGGACGGCCTCTCGGCTTTGGACGCCTAGTTCTTCCTCTTCTTCTGTTGCGGGAGCAAGGCTACCACCTGTCTTGAAGGCATGGTCAAGTTGGAGCCAGTACCATTCCCAGAGCCAGGAGAGAGACTCGGTGGCTGCGCGCTTTAGCTCGGCGAGGGAAGGGAGGTGTCGGTGGACGATTCGGTGACGGGTTTCTAGGAGTGTGAGGGGGAGTTGGAGGGATTTGCCGGGGGGAAACCATGAGGGTCGGTCACGGGTTAGATCGATTTGCGTGTCTGCCAGGCCAGTGATGAATCTGGGGGTGGTGTTAGATGGGGGATTCGTATGGATTTAGAATGATGCTGTGGTTAGGCCAGTTTGAAATCATGATCGATAGGTTGTTGTGGAAGATGATTTGGTGGAAATGGACGAGGAGTATTGATAGTGATGGGAAGTAATGATGCTGCAAAGCCATAGTGAACGAGTCCTATGCAGAGGGTAGGAAAGCTGCTGAGATGTTCATGAATCTCAGCTTGAACAAACCTACCTCGATATCGCAGTCGCGTACAGCAACCGCAGTGCATTATGTTGCAACTCGCCTCTTGCATCTTGAAGCACTACATCGACGATATCTGCCGTTGAGTCCAGCAGCAATGGCAAGCCATCAGGTTTTCGAAGTCGCCAAGCAAACACCTACCCGTCATCAGCACACTGTGGCTGTCGACTCTCCTGCAGAGTATATTGATTTCTTCCAGCGTACCTTGTTCACCGCCTTCTCTCTCCTACTAGTCTCAGGACTGTACAGGTCCTGGCGCAGCTGAAGCAGCTCGCGACTATCACGCCACGCCGTAACAACAAACCGGGTATGCGATTCCATATCTTTAGTCCCAGTCGCGCAGATTGACGCGTTTCTGCAGTGCGAAAGTTTCAAACCCTGCTATTGGCTAGCTCAGCACCTGGGCATGTAACGTCGCAGGTGAAGGCACGTGAACTCGCGTTGGAAATTTCCTCAGTCGTTCCAGATTGCTCGCCCTATCGATAAGCGCTAAAAGTCTCATCCATGGCCTTTAGCATCGAGCCAATGACGCAAAGCCACCCGGCAAAACCTTGGAATTGTTTTTTTCCTCTCCCCCATCTTCCATCGCAAACCCAATCTCGCAAGCCACGCTCCCCAACTTCTGGAACCTCTGTTGTCTGAACTTTTAACTTCGCGCTACTTGCTTAGTCTCCGGTGACGACCATGACAGGAGGGAACAGGCAGCGTGGCACATCCTGCTGCTCGGTTAGCTGGTAAACTTCGGCACTAGACGCCCGGAGGTGCTCAGATGTTCGGTCAGGGCAACTGAAGCGGGTCTGGCCGAAGTTGGGCGGAGCTGAGCAGAAAAAGAGTGCAGAGACCAGGACGATGGTGCAGCATCCATAGCCTTCTGCCGCGCAGGGCTGGCGTGGCTCGCTCCGTCTGACGGCGTAACGATCGGTCGGACCGTAGAGGTGTCTGCGTCACTCCGACTTGGTGTGTGCGTGTTTGCGCCCATCAATCATGCCACTTTGTGAGGCTGATGCTACTCTGTTATTTTATCGGTCTTCGGTCCTTTGCCGGGCGTTGTGACACAATTGCGCGCTGGCCCTGTTGCGTCAGACTAGGACCGGAGGACGGCGGCATGTCGCCGACATATGATGTTGGTGTGTCTTGTGCTGGTCGCCTTGGAATGCAATGTGTTTGGTGCACTAAGGGCTGGTACATGGCGGCTTGCGCCGAGACGAGAGTGCGTTGGGGCCACGGTTGAGCGAAAAGGCTAGAAGCGTTGAAGAAGCTTGTGGGTTGTGGAGGACGAGGATGCATCGTGTTACGGCATCCTGTGAGTTCTGGGGCAGGCCAGGTGCGCGATGGGGTGCACCTTCCTTTCTCGTCAACGGCTCACTGCTGGGCTTCTTGGGCACTATGTGTTCACAAGCATCATAGAGTAGACTCGTCAGCACTGCATATTGGGCCAAAGTATGGTGTAGTATGATTGATTTGGTTGATGATGCTATCTAATGCATCATCTTCATCTGACCTCATAGTGAGCGATGCAAAGCCTCACTCTAGTGCCGCTAAAGGCAGGGTATCTCTAAGTCTCTTTTCCGGTCCCAAGCGGAACCATGCAAAACGCCGCGCTGTGCTGAAAGAACTCGCCTCGAAAAAATGCTCGCCTCGAAGATAGGACAGTGGACCTCTGTCGTGGTCGCACGTTTGAAACAGACATCTAGATTACAACCAGCCATATCCCAGCCCGGCGTCCCGCACCGGCATGGTGGGCTGCTTCATTTGGTGAAACCACCACTCCTTTGTCACCGACTCGTCTTCGTCGAAGAAGAAGCTCTGTCCCTCCATGTTGTTTGGTGTTTGAGCTTTGACATGAACGGGCAGGTGCTGTGCCTGTTGTGCCGGAAGAGGCGGCGATGGCTCCTCAACGCTGGCCTCAGAGCTGGCATCGTCGTCTTCCTCCTCTTCATCGTCAGCCTCAGGTGGCTGCCAAGTCTCCTCGAGCTTGAGACCCTTTCCAGTTCCTTCGTTGTTGAGGGCGCCCCAGCTCAATGAGGGCTCTGGTGCGTCGTAAAGACCCAGTGCAACTAGCTTCTCACCATCGTCGTCTTCCATATCTTGGTCTTGCTGAGCAGGGTGTTGAATAGGCAGGAAGTCGGTAGATGCTTGGGCCTGGTTCTTTTGAGCCCATTGCTGCAGGTACCATGGTAGAGGCTCGGTCGATGGAGTGTTTAGAGAAGAGTGGACATAGCCGGGTGTGGGCTGAACGCTTTGCCAGCCGCTCTCGGACTGGGTGTTGGTGTATGTCGGGGTGCTGGTCATGGGCTCGAACATGGAGTTACGTGTGGACAGAGAGTAGAAGTCAGAGCCGTGTTGAGAGTCGCGGGACGAGGGAGAGTAGTGTTGTGACCAGTGTTGTTGAGGCATGGGCTCGAAGTAGTTGGTTTGTTGTGAAGCCTGGAACTGTGCAGACGATGGGTGCCAGCTCACAGGTCTGCTTGGTTGGGGACGGTCTTCGGTTTCCTCGGCTGGTACACCGAACATCATCCTGTAGTGGTCGTCCAACGAAGCGTAGAGCTTGGTCTCGGTGGTGGTCTTTCTCCTCTCCATGCTCTTTGGGCTGTTGTGGTAGCTCTTTGTCTTTTCAACGCGAGATGAGCGGCAGGCTGATTGGCTGCCTGAGCTGCGAGAGGTACGCCGGTGAAGGGTTGAGGTTTGCATGTGGCCGGACATGGTGGGCAAGTGGTGTTGTAGTCAAGTCGTAGTGTGGGAAGGCAGTGATGATATACAGTAGAGAGGCGGGATGTCTCAGCGGTTTGTATGTGGCAGACGGTTGTGTCGGTGACAATCAGTCTTGTCTGACCTGGAAGCGTGCTGGGTTGGGGGGCATCTGCATAGGTATATGGGGTGCCAAGAGATATAGACAGATCAGGAAGGGTGGATGGGGAAATTGAGGTAGAGTAACCTCGCGGCCGGAGTCATGGTACAAGGACGGCCAGGGCCAGGCTAGCGAAACTCAAGAACAGCTAATAGTGGAATAGGTGCAGACAAGGAACGGGAGTGTATTGACTATACGGAGCCACCAAGGGATGGCTCGGTGAGGTGCGCTGTGACGACTAGGGCCAGTGGCACGGCTGGAACGATCAACGAAAGGCATAGTGCGTGGAGCGAAAAGGAAGACTTGGAATGACCAAATCACACGACAGGGAAGGTAGACGAGGGCGGCGTACCATGTATCATGGCGCAACGCGCAACGGAGCATCCGTGCAGCTAGACGACGGCCGGCTCATGGAGAAGGCAGGCCAGGGAACCACAGCGCCCGCAACGATGATGGCAGAAAGCGGTAGTGCGACTAGGCCCTGTCGAGCG